ATCCATAATATCCATAATATCCATAATATCCATAATATATAATACTTAGTACACGGCTCAGGCGAGTCGGAGACCCCTCGGTCGGGACGGACCTGCTCGGGGCGGGCCCGTCAGACTTCCTGGCGGCTGGTGGCCGGGGCGGTTCACTCGTCAACAGGTTGGAGGCGGCCTTCTTCAGCACGTCCGCGTACTGGAACGGCTTGGAGGGCCCCGGTGGTGGCGTCGCGGCGGACGGTCTCCAAGCCGGCTGCATCTTCTCCTTGGCGTCAGTGAAGGCTAGCCCATCCCATTTCATGGGTCAAAATCGTGGATTTCGGAGGTACGGGGCCTAAATGGTAGATTTTACCTATGAGAGACCCTGTGCAAAGTCCGGGGCCTTTGCGACAACGTTTACCCGGATCGCATTGCGATTTTCGTTCTGGCCCAACCTTGGCGCCAAACAGGTAGACCACCTTGTAGGCGCTGCACTGCGCGCACGGTGGGACCAGGGCGAACGACTCGGGCTGAAAGTGTTACTCTCTGGGTCCTACTTTGTATCAGATGTAAAGGATCCGAGCTCTGGACACACCGGCCGTGTCCAGGGGCCTAAACGTGCGCACGACGTCACTTGCCAGTTACAGAAAATAATGCTGACGTAGCCCTAACTTTTTATTGCATGAAAACCGAGGGCACACTGAGACCTTCAAAAATCAGTAATGTCCACCTCTTGGTATGCGACCATGACCTCGCAGCGCTCTCGTAAGCACTTCATGCGTAGCTCCTTCCAAAAGGAAGCAGCAAAGGTATCGTTTAGGGCTGATAGGGCCGATTTGTGAGTGATTCGTTGTCTTAAAAATATCACATTTGCTCTACAAAATCATTTTGAACATGTTAGCGATGCAAAATGCTGTGGTAGAAGGTCCATTGAGGCCCGAAAATTATATTTGCTTCTTCCTTCTCTTCTTTTTCGGCTTAGCGGAATGGTCTATTGCCTTAAGTTTGAGTAACGGTAATCTTGATTAAACTAGCTTGGGAGGGTTGGGACCCTACAAACATATGTTTAACTCATTCAGCTTCACCTCTACCACGATTTAACATTGAAATAAAGCATGTCACTCCATCTTTTTCAAGTTTTGATAGGTAAAGGATGACACAAAAATGAACTTTAAAAAATATTTAATGCCTTAAGGGCCAATCCGAGGGGGTTTTACCTTGCGTAATTCCCTGTACACGATGCCAGTAATACCGTGTAATACCCGCGTAATACCGTGTAATACAGAGTAATACTGTGTAATACCCCGTAATACTGTGTAATACTTTGTAATACTGTGTAATACTGTGTAATACCTTGTAATACCCTGTAATACCCGTTCCACACCTTTAAAATACTGCTAAATAAGGCTTTGGACTACCTCTAAAGCTTAAAAAGTTTCGAGAAAGAAAGGAGCTTAAGTGTCTGCTGTTGATGTACGCAGGTCTTCCCTGCTACGGCAACCCCTCCCCTCCCCCCCTCCTACTATACTCCCGTTCCCCCTCTCCCTTTCCAGCTTGAGAGCAGGTCAACAGTAGTGGTTTGGGAGAAATGTGAAAAGGTAATTATTGTTTCGGGTTCATCTTGACAAAATAAAACGAAAATGTTTTATGCCCGAAGACGATCGAAATCGAAATGGCAGAGTTATTCCCTCTCAAATTGACAATTTGGTGGTTTTTGGCCCTTTTGTCAGTTTGGGGACCAATAACTTTGCCGTTTCGACTCTGACAGGCTCTGAGCATAAGACATTTCCGTTTTAATTTTGCAAGAG